GTCTTGGGTGCATACATTTCTTTTGGAGTAAGACTGTTTTGGAATTAACCTATGCAAACTTCAACCTCTTCTTTATTTGCTGTTGTTATTCATTTATTTTTTTTCTTTCTTTTTTCTTTTCTTACTCTTCTTTTTCTTTCCCATTGCCAGTATAAAAGGAGGCCAAGAGAGTGTCTTTTTTGTAGTATGGCAAAAGTTGGTCAGTTTTCTTTGGCATTTGAATGTAGTGACCCCAAGGAGATTGGGGTCTTCACTTTCATGTTCTTGCCACCTAAATGTGAATTATTTCCAACCACAGCAGTAGAAATCATATGGTGAAGTTACTTTGACTGTTATTTAAAAAATTAAAAACTATTACTACTACTAATAAAGATTTTAACAGGGGTCAGCCAACTATGGACCACTGGCCAAATTCAGAGTATAACTTGTTTTTGTAAATAAAGTTTTATTAGAAACCAGGTACTCCTATTTATTTGTCTTTGGCATAGTTGTGGCCTGCAAAACCACAATTATCTACTCTATGACCTTTTCAAAACAGATTTTTGGAAACTTGACCTACAGCAGTTATTCTCAAACCTTACTGCACATTAGAATCACCTATAAATTTTCAAAGACCCTAATTCCCAGGCCCATAGCCCACTTTTATGTAAAATTTTTTGGTATTTACTAGTATTTTTAAAACTTCTCAGATTTCAACTAAAAGCAATGTTTGAGCTGGTGGCCTATGGTGTAGGTCTGGAGAATGCTGTGATAGCCAATATTGTGCTCTGTGCATAGGCTGATAAGCCACACATTGACATAGACCTTGGCAGAGAAACCTAATCGTACAGGCAATACTCTGTGATTCAGGAGACTAGGATCTATTGCAATACAAGTGAGTTTCATTCCAGGTTCTTCATTCAAGCTGGGGACAGCCAACTAGTAGAAAGAAGGAAGAAGAAAAAAGTGAAGGATATATTAGAGATAAGCAATATGAATGGATCCCTAGATTATTCACTCTGCCCTTACTGTGGGAATGCTGCCTTTAAAAATGGGCTAGGTCAGCTATCCCATTCCTTGGTATTTATCTTAAAGAACTGAAATCAGAATATTATAATGATACATGCATACAATGTTTATGGCAGTACAATTCACAATAGCCAAGTTATAGAACCATCCTGGGTACCCATCAACAGAATATATATATATATCACTCACAATGGAGTTCTACTCAGCCATAAAGAAAAATGAAATTGTGTAATTTGCTGGTAAATGTATGAAACTGGAGAATATCATGATAAGTGAAATAAGTCAGACTCAGAAAGTCAAGGATTGAATGTTTTCTTTCATATGTGGAAGATACAGAGAAAAATAAATCAATAAATAAGGCTCTCATGAAAATGAAGAGAGACCAAAGGAATAGAGGGCAAGGGAAGTAAAGGGCAAGGGAAGGTACTAGGGAATGATGTCAAATTATGTCATGTCCATCTACAAATGTACCACAATGAAACCCACTTTATGTATAATTATAGTGCACTAATTTAAAAATAATAACAATAGAAGGAAGATCTGTAGAGAAGATGGAGGGGATGGGGGAGGAAGAGTATCAGGGGGAAGAAGAAATGGAGGGAAAGGAGGGGTCTTGGGGAATGAGAATGATCATCATGTTATGTGCATGTGCGAACGTATCACAATGAATCCCACTTTTATGTAAAAATTTAATGCACAAAAAAACTTTTAAAAATGAAACTCCATCTTTAACTTGAAAATAATGGGATAGGTGTTATAGGAATGCAGAGGGAGACACTGGATATGGGATTCTCAAAATGTAGGGAAGAGAATCCAGAAGCAATGTCAAGTATGTGGAGTGGGAAGGAGAAAGAGTAAACTTGTCACGAGGAAAACAGAAATAATTTACAGAATCAAAGGGACTCTGGATAAAAGCATATTGTGTAAAGACACAGAGGATTCCAGGAGAGCAAAAGGAAGGTGGAGAGGGGGAATATTATGCCTTTACATAGATTAGGAATCCTGTCTCCATGCCAGTCCACCCCAGATAACCCATCTAAATTGATGATGAAATGAAATATAGGCTAAAGGGACTTTATGTCATTTAAAAAGATAACATAGAGGCTGAGGAGTCTTCTTTGAGAGTTCGTAAAATTCATGATTACTTATCTTCTGAAATGATCAGATTTGGGCTTTGTGCTTTTCCTCCAAGAATGTGGCCAATTAACTTGAATTTCTTCTCTGTCCCTCTAACTCTCAGGGTGATGCCATGGCTTGGCTCATGGACAAAAGTTGCTCTTCCAAACCTCCAAAGAAGCATTGCTTTCTGGCATAGAATTGACTCCTGTTCCATCTCTTCCCTATAAGGCTTTTGAATCATTTTTCTGAATATAAGAGTAAAATTCAGCTTGTTTGCTTGCTTTCTTCTGAAATTTCAGGTTTCATCCACCCACTTATTAACAGCTTCAGTTATGTCAGCACCTGCATCATTGGCTGTTGCTAAACTCTTTTGGCCTGAGACAGAAAAACCTAAAGTAACCCTCAAGAATGCCATGAAAATGGAAAATGGGTAAGTGGGACATGTTACCTAATCAATGACTGTGTTAGTTTTTCATTTGCTATGATCAAAATACCTGACAAGAACAACTTAGAAGAGGAAAAGTTTATTTTGGCTCACAGTTTCAGAAGATTCAGTCCATGGTCAGCTGACTCCAAGGCAGAAACATCATGGCAGAAGGGCATAGTGGAAGAAAGCTGCTCAGCTCATGACAGTAGGGAAAATAGAGAAGAGAGGAAGGGCTCAGGACTAGATAAGTCTTTCTGGGGCACACCCCCAGTGACCTATTTCTTCCAACTAGGTCCCACCTTCCTGTGGTCCATTCAGCTATCAATGGTGCAAACCAGCAAACACCTTATTGTATTAGGGATTATGCTTCCAACTCATGAGCCTTTGGGGACATTCCAGATCCAAACCATAACAGTGACTACACAAGTTGGAGCATGAAAGTCCAAATTCAAAACAGCAAAAATTTGATAGAGAGAAAGCACAGAGTGGATTATGATATTAAAGTAGATTTAATTTCCTCTGATTAGACTTTACCAAAAAACATCTTTCTCAACACTTCAGGAAAACCTTTCTAAATACCTGAATTCCAATACGTTTCTTTAACTGTTCATCATAAATATATCTTATTGTAAATACAGCATAGTGTTCATTGAGCTTTTGTTTAAAGGTGTTAGAAAGCCATAGGATGAGCATTTCTGGAGTTGCTTTATATAACAAGAAAGTTCATCTTCTTTTTTCCTGTGAAAAAGAAAGAAAAAGGGGTGGGAAAAACTATAAGATTTTAAATGTTCAAAAGTATTTCATTAAACAATGATTCATAGACCATGATGTGTCTAAGAGTCATCCCTTATTTGTAGGGAAATCAGGTCATATCGTGAGTGGAAAAGCAAAGTTACTGAAGAATACAGTAAAGGTTAAGCATTCCTAATCAAAAATTCTAAAATCCAAAATCTAAAACTTTTGACACTAAAGGGAAAAATTCCATACCATTGAACTTTGTCTCATGCACAAAATTGTTTAAAATATAACATAAAAACTTTAAGTCCATGTGTATAAGGTATATGTGAAACATAAATTAATTTTTTATTTAGACTTGGGTCTTATCCCCAAGGTATCTCATTATGTATATGCAAATATTCCAAAATCCAAAACACATTTGGTCCCAAACATTTTGGATAAGAGATATTCAACCTGTAGAATGATTTCACTTATGAAGTTAGCAAGCATGCGTATCTGTAGGATGTATCATTTGGAGATAAAGCAAGTGGGAAAATTGTAAAGAATGGGAATGATAAACAAAATTGAGGGAGTCGGGAACCTCTGAGATTAGAAGAGTAGGGAGGGGATAAGATTACACACTGGGGAATTCATAGGCATACCAAAGTACCTGACAAGAGCAACTTAGAGAAGGAAAGCATTATTTTGGGTTCATGGTTTCAGACACTTAGTCCATGGTCAGCAGACTCTATTGCTCTGGACCCAAGTTGGGGCAGAACATCATGGCAGAAGGGCTGGTGGAGGAAAAACATTCAGCTCATGGCATCCAGGAAATAGAGACACTAGTGACAACCTATTTTCCCCAAGGGTATGCCTCCAGCATCCTACTTCCTCCAGATACTACCAACCCACCTACAGTGACCACCCAGTAGTCCATTCAACTTATTAATCCATCAAATGGATTAAACCACTGATGAGGTTACAACTCTCATAATCTAATCGCTTCACCTCTGAACATTCCAGCATTAACACATGAGCTTTTCAGGCCACATCTTGGATCCAAACCATAACAAAAGGTGATGGGACATTCCATTTCTTAAATGAGGTGACAGCTATACAGGCCTTCTAAGATTATGACTCTTTATACCATGAATATTTTATAAATATTGTCTGATAGCTACTTTCAATTAATAATTCAAAATCTCTACTTTTTAATCATTTTCCAATTTTTATTATAAATGCCCCAAATTTAAAAAGCAATATTGAGGCTGGAGGTGTAGCTCAATGATTGCACAAGTGTTTAGCATGTGTGAGGCCCTGAGTTCAATCTCCAGCATCATGAAAAAAAAAATATTAAAAAGGATAATGGTTAGATGCCAATATGCTCACCACCTATATTCAACATCATGATTTCATGGGATTCAGATGAGTATTTTGACCAAGGTAGAGATCTAAATGTTTGCCTCTCACTCAAATGAGGTCTGTTTCTGCCATTTCTGCATCTGTGGTAACTCTGGAATTGCTATCTTTTTATAAAGTGATTCAAGGAATCTCCTAGAAGCTGCAACACAGGGAGCATCCTCATCTATCCCTCTGGTGGCAAACATCACTGTGAATCTGATTGCCTTCTTGGCCATGTTGTCTTTTGTGAATTCAGCCCTGTCATGGTTTGGAAACATGTTTGACTACCCACAGCTGAGTTTCGAGGTATAATTCCATCATGCTTCTGCTTTCTGTTTTGTTTCTATCCTTGTTTAAGTTTGTGTACAGCCTTCCCTAACTACCCGGGATGTACTCTCACAAACTGCAGAAGCTCCTCAGAGGGCTTCCCCCATCTTCCCAACCCCACCCTCTCGTACCACCCTCCTTCCTCCAGACAGTCATTTGCTCCTGACTCCACCCCCAAGATTCCAGGTTGCTTCAAAGCACCCAATTCCAGCCTTGACTCCTGTCTTAGTCTGCTTTTTGTTACAATAACAGATGCCTGTCTGGGTAATTTATAAAGAAAAGAGTATATTTTATCTCACGTTCTGAAGGCTAGAAATCCAAGGTCAACTGGCTGCATCTGTCCAACTTCTAGTGAGGGCTATTGTTTGTACCCTGTATAGTAGAAACATAGAAAGGGCAAATGGGCATGTGCAGAGAGGGAGAGGGGAGACAAAGGAGCTCACCCACTTTATAACAACATACTCTCTAGAGTACTACTATATACCAGAAAAAACTAATCCAGTCTCTCTTGGGAAAGATATTAATTCATCTGATGGGCTCCACCATCTCTCAGCAGCATTACACTGAGGACCAAACCTCAACAGGAGTATTGGTAAGGATGAACCCATATTTAAACCATAGCAACTCCTGATATATAATGATGGGAAGCAGAATATGAGGGGATATCTTGTGTCTAAAAGAGATAGAGGATTCAGGAACAATCTTGTTGAGAGAATGAGGCAAAAGAACTAGAAGCAAATGCCTGTTCTAACCAAATATATTCTGTTTTTTGCAGCTAATATGCTCCTACATCTTCATGCCCTTTTCCTTCATGATGGGAGTGGACTGGCAAGACAGCTTTATGGTTGGCAGACTCATAGGTTATAAGACATTCTTCAATGAATTTGTGGCTTATGAGCAACTCTCACAATTGATCAATTTGAGGAAACAGGCTGGACCTAAATTTGTGAATGGCACTCAGCAATATATGTCAGTGAGTAAATTCTCTGATTTTTCCGTGTACTTCTTCACCTAAATTCATTTGTCATCTAGTGACTTGTGCCTTTGTGTATCAGACACTATGCCAGGCACTTGAGTTATACCAGAGAACAAAATAAATCAAAAATCCTTAATCTTGTGGAGTTCATAATGTACATGGCACTTCATTATTTTCAACTATATTGAATTAATCATGTGTGTGTGTTTATGTAGCGGGGAGAGAGAAACACTCATCCATATCAGTGATAGTTTACTTTTGAAGACTGTAGACACAAACCTATAGACACATGAGCTGAGACTGAAACCAATCAGTCAAAAGTATTTATTGAATGCCTTCTATGTGTAATATGTTCCATACCAAGACCAAGTACTGAACAAGTCACTGCTCTGTTAGTTTTGCATCATTGTGGAAAAATACCTGAGATGATTAACTTCTGAGGAGGAAAGTTTTATATTGGCTTATGATTTCAGAGGTTTTAATCCATAGTCTGTTGGTCTCATTGCTTTGGGGCCTGAGTATATCATGACAAAAGTATATCGCTTTGGAGATCTGTTCACCTCATGGGAGCCAAGAAGCAAAAAGATAGGAAGAGGTGGGGGTTAGGTCCCAATTTCTCCTTCAAAGACATGCCCGCAGTGACCTAGATTCCTTCCACAAAACCCCACCTCTTAAAGGCTCTACCATCTCCCAATGGCACCATCAACTGGGGACCAAAACCTTTAACATATGGAACTTTGGGGGTCATTCATGATTCAAATTATAACAGGTCCTACCCTCATGGAGCCCATAGTCTAATGATCACAAAGCCCTCTTCCTTCCAGGGGAAGGAATTTTATGAGCTCTGAGAAACTGCCTAAATGCAAAATGGTGCCTGGCCACCATCAAGAGATGGTAAGATGCATTATTACCATCCAGGGGGATGACAGGGAAGAAAAAACTCAGGTCTATGATCTGAAAACCTTGATTTAAATGCCTCATAATCATGTCAACTTCAGAGCAACAGCCTACAAAGAGATGCTCATGTCTGCCTGGACTTTGGTGGAATGAGGAATTTGGATGAGGCTGTATTTATAGCTGAATCTCCAACTTCTTACCCCCCAAACAATAGAATTGTCATAGTGGAAACTAAACTATTTCCATTCAGGCAATAGTGAATATTTCTGACCACCACCATTTCTATAACCTACTTGAAGTTAACGTCCCAGGTTCATATTGGGTTTTAAAAGGCAAAGGAGGGAAAGCAGGCTGCCCAAGTATTGATACTGTTCACCCCCAACACCAACACCACCCCTTCCAGCTGCCCAAAGACCAGTCATACTAATTGAATTGTGTCCCACATGTTACACAAGTTAGCCACAGCCTACTCCAGGACCACTGATTACACTTCTCAATCAGAGGCATTTTGACCCACACAACTGATAGGACAGGGGCTTTGTTTCTCACATGTTCTTTCTTCAATGAGCCTCACAGTGAAACTTGACCATTTACTCTCATTATTTGGATGCCACCTACACCATTGGTTTTCCTGCCAAAAGTAAACAATAAGCTAAATTAAGTGAAATGTTTCCTATCCCCAACTGTCAGTTGCAAGCAGAAAATAGTTTTGCTAATGAGAAAAGTGAGCTGCCAGTTCTGGCAATGCTAAGCAGCTTTGTGAAAAGGCTGTTAAGAAAATGGAGACAGAACTGTAGCACTGATTTGGGTTTGGGGGTGAGCCCAGACGAAGGTAAGCACACAGAGCACATAGGGAGATGTGAGCTCAGTGGCCTCTGTCATTCATTGCTGTCATGATGGGAGCAGCATTTTGTTACTCCAGATTTCTGATTATAAATCAGCAATGGTAAGAAGAGCCCCAGCAATTTTTGCTTACCAACCAACAAGGGGTGAAGTATGTTCCAACAACATTCTAGAAAATATGACATGTGACTGAAGCATGCTATGTTCAAATCCCCAGTTATATCCATTGAATCACACCCACTGCCAACCTCAATCTAATGTAAGAAGTCAACATATGGATGTGGCACCCACACACAGAGAAGGAGACATTTATTGCTCCATCATTTTCTCTTTCTTAAAGATAATACTTTGCATGTTTGTTTACATCTTAGTATATAACATCATTTAGAATTTAAAATCTCCAAAAAGTTGTAGAGGTTAAAGGCACACTCCCTAGTTCTCTACCACCAAGTTCTTCTCCCTTGAGAATAATGTGCTCACTGTTCTTAACCTTGCTTTTTGAGCTCAGTAGCATATCTTGGAAAACTTTCTATATCAGTGCCTATGACAGTATTCTATTGCATAGACACTGTAATTCATTTAACCAGGCCCTTGCTGATGAACACTTAGCAATTTGCTATTAGAAGTAGTGCCATGGTGGCTGTCCTTGTATGTGTAGCATCTTTGCTTGCACTCAAGAAGAGCTGTAGCGTGAATTTTGTAATGCAGTACATCCTTTTCCATTATGTAATCTTTCACGTAGGTGGACAAAGGCCAAATTGAATCATCCCAACATCCCTGTCCTCTTCTTATAAAACCATACTTGGCCACATCTATGTATCCCTTTGCCCCACAATCCCCAGTCAGGGAAAAGAAGAGTCATACGTCCTTCATGCCATGTCCCTCCTCACAGTCTCTTAATAAGCGTGGCTCTTTTGAAGCCAATTGAATTAAATGAAAAGCACTAGAAAGAGCAGGGGACGAGGATGAGCTTTTCCAGGAACAGTAGACTGTGCAAATACTCAATATTATTTTTCCCCCCTGCTATTTGCACAGTGTTTGAAAATAACAAAGAAGTTCTCAGAAACTATGAGAGAGAAGAGGGGCCTTCCAGTCAACAAAAACTTACCACAAGCACTTCAATCTTAAGCGTGAGCTTTTAAAAATCCAGTTAGCACAAGAAAAAAATAAAGTATTACTAGTGAATGTAGCATGTTTGGTTTGTTCTTTGAACCAAATCATAGATGTTTTAGGATATTGGAAAAAAATTATTGTCCCAATGATGTAGGTACCTTTCTTCCTTCTCTTGCTTCCAAATGGGCATCCAAACATGTCCGTGATATGACCAGAACTGGGAAAGAAAGGGAAGCACACACTGTGGCCAGACTAGACGGCAGCCCCTGTGATATATGAGAATTTCTTTTTTACTAATATTATTTCTTAATTTTCCTCTAGGCCCTTTGTAGTCAACAACCCCGTGAAGATCTAGTCCCAGGCAACCAATGATCTTTCTTTCACTGTCGATTACTTTTGGCTTTCAATAAGCATTCAGCATTCATGTTGTTGTATATATTACTTCCATTTTCTTTTTCTTGCAGAGCAGCATTTTATTTTATAGATATTCATACTGTGTCCATTTTCCTACTGAAGGACATTTGAGTTGTTTTAAGTGTGGGGCGATTAAGAGTAAAGCTGTTATAAATATTCATGTACAGTATTTTGGGGGTCATGTGTTTTTATAATTCTCTTAGGAAAATTTCTGGTTTATACAGGCAGCGTGTATTAACTTGATGAGAATCTGCCATAAAACAGCATGGCTGTGTCCTTTTGCGTTCCTACCAGCAATACACGAGTTTCCGTTGCATTGTAATTTTGCCATATTTTGTGTTGTCCGTCTTTTTAAACTTTAGCCATTTTAGTAAATGTATAGTGGTATCTCATTGTTTTTCATTTGCATTTCCCTGGTGGCTAATGATGTTGAGCACCTTTTCATGAGCTTCTTGTTCATTTGTATCTTTTGTGAAGTATCCAAATCTCTCCACCCATTTTTCCTTAGGTATTTGTCTTCTTATCAAGTAATAGCAGTTCTTTATATATTTTGAATAAGTTCTTTATCAAATAAATGTAATGTGAATATTTTCTGGGACCAATTTTGTATCTCCACCAACTAGTACTACACCTGGCACATTGTAGCAGGTGGGCCAGGTCCAATGGAATATTAGAAATTACCAATGAGCAGGAAGTAGCATTTTTAGAACCAAGGCCACCAATTCGAAGTCCATTGTAGAGCATTTCTTGAATCTACACAGCCCCTCTTCACCCTCTCTCAAAATTCAAGGGGAGATGGTAAAAACTGCCCTGGAAACAATGGGTATTTGCCACTATATGCTGTGCATTTATTTGTTAATATCAATTCTGTAGTCAAAATACAAAGCCAAGTTGGGATGTCAGGTTTCTTAGGCTGGGTCAGATCATGGATCCATTGGTGTTTATGCTTGCTTGCAGATTCGTTCTGAGACAATTGCCACTTATGCCCTCTGTGGGTTTGCCAACATTGGTTCCCTAGGAATAGTGATCGGTGGACTCAGTAAGTGAAAAGATATTCTTCTACAACAGATGTAACATAAACATACTTTGGAACTCCATCTCACTCCATCTCACATCTTATTCATGTCAGGAGAAAAGTTACCGTCGATAGTAGAAAATCCTCTGGGGTCTATTTTTTATCCCCATTCTACAAGATAGATTTCCTCTGTACACCCAAACTAACCTCAGAAACAATATCCTCAAACTTGCAGATGCTTCTCCCAACCCAAAGCAACACAGAAGTTTCACTTGTATACTAACACCAGTAGATTGACTGATTTTTATTTTGTGGTGGATTGAACCCAGAGTTACTCTACCACTGAGCCATACCCCCAGCCCTTTAATTTTTTTGCTTAGAGACAGAACCTTGCTAAGTTGTCCGGGATGGTCTCAAAGTTGTTATCCTCCTGCATCAGCCTCCTGAGTAGCTAGGATTACAGGCGTGTACCATTATGTTTGGATTTATAATACCTCCCTGCAGAAGGATTCTGGGGACCAATCAAAGATTGGTGGGAAAATGCTGTGATTTATGAGTGATGTCTCCCACAGGCATGGAAATAGTTGGTGACAGTTGAGTCACCATCTCAGACCATCTCATCAATCGATCCCTCCATGTATCCCCTTTGATTTGCCATGCTCTCCATGCTCTCTGAGCCCTTTGGATAAAACTAAGGACTTGTTTCTTTCCAACTGACCTGAAACTCCAATATCAGAACACTTTTTAGAGGCTACAAATTTGGATTTCTAACCAGTAGAATCAACATTAATCTCAAACAGCTCCTTTCATGTCTCCCAGCCTCTCTAGCTCCTAGCAGAAAGCGGGACATCGTCGCTGGAGCAGTAAGATCTCTGATCTCAGGGACCGTTGCTTGCTTCATGACAGCCTGTGTCGCAGGTACTACATCCCATCCTTTGTTTCCTGGGTGCCCACGGAAGGCAGCTTTCAGGAAAGCAAGGTCTCCAATCCTTATATGCAGCATATGCTGCTGCAGAAAGCTGAGAGTCAGAGCTGCCATTAAGCGTATTGTAAATTTAAATGTGTGGTGTGGAGGCGGCTGGGGAGAAGCTTAGAACAGAAGGAGAGTTCGGTGACTTCACTAATAATGAAAATAAATGGCACTCTGTTCCACTTCTAGGCATACTCTCTGGCACCCCCGAGGACATCAACTGCCATCACGTTTTAGAGAATGCCTTTAGCTCCAGTTTACCTGGCAATGCAACCACAGTGGTGTCTTGTTGCCAAAGTCTGTTGAGCAGGTATTGCAATTTTTGTTTTTAATGAAACTATTTTTCTTTTATTTTTATATTGTTATAGGTACACTGCAATTATACATGAGTAGAATTCATTGTTACATATTTGTACACGCACACATTATAACAATATAATCTGGTCGATTTCACTCCCAATATCTTCCCTTCCCCTTTCCTCCTCCCTTCCACTCCTGTGCTAGTCTCCTTAGGTGTTGTACTCTTGATTATAACTTCTCTATACTTGCTTATTAATAGTCAAATCCAATCTTAAGACTTTGTCCACTTACTTTTATAACTCTTATTTTAACATAAGACTGAACATCAATTATATCAATGTTTCACTTTGACTTTTCTAGGAACTAAAATTCTCAGTAGTACTGCTCAAGTATTTAATATGTACCCAGCTATACATCTGTCACTTCATATGAATTATGTCACTTACAACTTGCAATCACTGTATGTTGAGCACTATCACGTTTTTTTTTGTTTTGTTTTGTTTTTTGGTTTTTTTTGCATTTGATATAGCAGAGGCTTAGGGAGGTTATGTCCACTCAAGGAAAATTAGGCCAGCACAACCAAGATAATTCATGCCCATCTACCCAAAAAGCCCATGCTCCACCTGCTACTGCCTCCCTTCCAAGGGGATCAAGACTATCCATCTGACAACATGGTAATAGACTATAGTGGATAAGAGGACACCAGGGACCCATGCAGCCATCTCCACCTTCTATGGTTTCTTCTCACAAAATCAGTATCCCCACCATCCCAGCAGCTCTCTTTTATGTGCAGGTGCATTATAAAGATTGATTCTATATCTGCTTCTTCTGGTAAATAGGAAAAATCCTTGAAGTCACACAGAATTTGAGAGCCAAAATTAATTCCCCCATGCCTGTCTGTAACTGTCTTTAACTCACCATAACCAGAATGTGAGGGGGAAAAAAATCAGCTTTCTGCCCTGTGCCTTGCTTTTTTTTTTTTTTTTTTGGGGGGGGGGGGGGGGGGGGGGTGGTTTGCGGGTACCAGGGGTGCCTTACCACTGAGCTATATCCCCAGCCCTTTCTATTTTTTATTTTGAGACAGGGTCTCACTAAGCTGTTGAGAGTCCCACTAAGTTGCTGAAGCTGGCTTCAAACTTATTCCTCCTGAGTTTCTGGAATGCAAGAAGGGTGCACCACAGTGCCACATTCCTGTGACATTTTTAATGTATCACCTTCTGCTCACCCATTGTTTCTGCTGTACAAGGCTCAACTAATGGTTTCATTCTACTTTCCACCAGCATTACTGTCAAGGAGCCTGGTGAGGTCATCCCAGGAGGAAACTACAACCTGTACTTTGTGAAGGGCTGCTGCAAATTATTGAATCCACCAACACTGAACTGCAGTTGGATCCCTGACACATTTTGAATTCCACCACTTCCCCATTGGAACTCTGAGTGAAGATGTTGAGCTATTGTCTACGGATTAATAAATTTAATCATGGAATCAAGTTTAATTGCAAGGAAAGAAGAAAAATTAAGAGTGAACCTTCCAGAGCTATAACATCTCCCTACTTCCCTTCCTTCCCCAACACACCTTCTCCACACTGTGACCTACTATGATGTCTCCAACTGAGGTATCATCTCCACTCTCAACAGTGTCTTCTAACCTTACATTTTTAAGGCATTTCATGACAATACAGGTTTAAACAGTAGCTCTCAATAACACGGCTGTGACTCAGCCATATCTTCTTAGATTAAATGGCCCCAGAGTGACTTGTTTTAAACACATCTCAGGTGACATCACTCTGCATTCACCCTAACTTCCCTGAAATAATTTGAACTTGAATTTCACCCAAAAGGAAGGCTGATCAGCAAACACCTACTGATTGGCTACCATCCAGAGGTCCTACCTAAATCCAAAGTTCTTCAGAAAACCATGTAGACCATACCAGAATAAGGATTTAAATTCTGTAATCTTGGAGAGTTGTATCAATCAGTTTAAGTTAAGTTATACTGCAGTAACAAACAATCACAAAAAGTTGTAGCTAAATTTATCTTTCACTCATATTATGTTTGTAATGGTCAACTTTGGCTTAATCTATATTTTCTTAATTTCCAGGATGCAGGCTAAAGAAGCAGCCTTTGTGTGAGGCATGCTGGTATTAGAGAGGGAAAAGAAAGGTAGGGATAACATGATGGTTCTTAAAATTTCTGCTAGTGGAAGTGACACCATTCACTTGCCCTATATTCCATTACCCAGAAGAAGTCCTATGGGAAATATAATGTCTGTGACCATAGAGGAATTATCCTATCAAAGAGAAGGATGGTAAGTATTTTACAAGAATAATATGATACTACAGAGTACATGATATCTATTCTTCCTTCAAGGAGTCGACTTGTTACAGGACATAATGGTAGGTCTATTCATGTGCAAATTTAGTAATATTCCTGGTGACAAGACTGGAAAGCAATCTTCATTCAAAAAAAGCCATATAAGGACTAATCAAGAAGAAAAATAAGTTCTTGTTCAGATCTGAACAACTTCATTAATATTTCCATTGACCAGAGAGATGTCAACATCAAACTTGCTAACTGGGTCTCAGAAAATGTCAGAGATGATGGTGCTTTCCTTTAATGACATGCTCATCACTGATGCTCTTAATATTCCAAAGAACACATTGTGTGAGAAAACACCAATGCCTCTGAGTCAAAAAGTGACTCACAAAGAAGAGACTCTGAATGTGACAAAGTTCTGATACCTTAAGCAATTTGTTTCTTTTTTTTTTTTTTTTTCAATCTGTTCATGCACAGGAGTTATTATTTTTTAAAAAGATCATGAGTAAACAGTTGTGTTGTTTTGCTGTTCTTTTGGTTTTGGTTTGTTAGACATGAAGGAGTGATCTCAAAGGACTCTTTATCCTTGAAGTAAATATACCAAAAATATTTCTAATTTTTTATTTGAATTCATTTTTCTTGGGATCCAATATGCCCTTTCAGTCTTTACACTTTATTTTAGAAAAATATATTTGCATGTCTTTTTGGTTTCAGGCTTCATTATAGCATAGGACAATATGTCAAAACTGCCAATAATTCACATTTTGGTTCTCCTTTCTCAGTTATGGCTATGTAATGACAAAGGATCGAGTTTAAAAATTCGTTGGCTATTAGAGAGCCTCGGGGATGAAATGGAATAGAAGGATCCAAAGAGTTAAAAAGAATTAGAAAATCTTTTGTCATTACTATTCTTTAAATATTTGTAACTCTCCTCTAAGCTTGTTTTTTTTTTTTTACATAATTGCTACTCTGCTTATTATTAAGTTTGTCTTTTCAAATTGTAAAATTAGTCATCTTTAATAAAAAATGAAGATTGTATAAACATAGCTAAACATATTTCTCCTCACCCTGTTTACCTGGCTCTCTTACCAGTACCACACCCCCAGGCTGTCACTGTTAATTGACTAGCTCACACATCTTTCTCCTTGCTTATACAAATGGTTTATTAGAATGCGGGGGATTTATTGTTGGTGAGCAAATGGAATGAGTCTATTTACACATTACTTTAACTTCCTTCTTTTTAGTTGGCAATAAACATGGACATTCCTGAAAGTTATTTATAATTCTAACTTTATCCTTCCCTTCTCCCTAGGGTGTCCAGATTTTTAATCTACGCAAATTTTTCCATATATTTTAAATCTATATTTTTTATGATGTCCAATGTAATGTAAGTGCTATGTGAACAGCTGTTGTGATGTACTGATTAGGGAATAGTGACAAGGAAATTCTATACATGTTCCATACAGAATATTTTTAATCCGCAGTTGATTATATCTAAGGATACAGAACCCAAAGATACACACATCCTATTGGTTCTGTGTCTCTGGAGAATCCTGACAAATGCATACACCTCATATGGTATAAATTAAGTGTAATTATGTTGTAAACCATTTATTTAGAACAATGCCTTGTGTG